AACCCCCAGAATGCCACAGGAGGCAGTCAGAGTAGTTAAAGTGGAATAGCAGCATTTTAAGAGTGTAGTGACATATTCTACATAGAATCCAAAGATACAGCAGTATAAAGTCTGTGGAATCAGTATGTAGAGAGATCTTGTAGCACCTTTGAGTCTCGTTATATTTCTGCTCTGCAACCTTACATTGCTGCTATTCCACTGTTACTGCTCTGTCTGCTTCCTGTTGCATTCTGGGGCTTGTAGTTCAGTGAGGCCTAAGGGCTCTCTGGCTGAGAATTCTAAATGTCCCTCCCTCATTAAACTGCAAATCCCAGAATGCAGCAGGAGGCAGCCAGAGCAGTAAAAGTGAAATGGCAGCGCTATAAGAGTGTAGTGTGGAAATGTGGTCACTGAAAGAGAGAGGTTGGCAGCCTAAAGTCTACGAAAGTTCATGCTGCCAACTTCTTTATGACATATAATGTACTCCATTGTATTTTTCTCATGAACTTATCTTCGTTAAAATGCAGAAATAATTCATTTTGAGACCACTTTAACTGCCATGGCTCCATGCTGTGGAATTCCAGGAATTGTAGTTTGTTGTGGCACCAAAGCTCTCTGACAGAGAATGTCTCACAAACACTACAGTTCCCAGAATTCTCTAGCATGGAGCCATAGCATTTAAAGCAGTCTCAACAAGGGTTATTTCTGCAGTGTGTTTTGGGCCTTTTAAAATGCTACCTTGTTTTATCCTGATTTCACCCCCTAAAATAGACCATTACAGGTAAACCATATCACTTGCAATGTTACTTCAGGCTTTAGTTTCATTTACTTAATAGAACTTTACCAGCAACAAACTCTTGACTGAATCTACATTTAAATTATTCCTTTCATTTGTCCATTGTGCTGAAGTTAAGGGGAAAAAAGCCTTTCAACATTTGCATTGTATCTTCAAGCAGCCCATTGCCTAATATGTTTGCTGCCCTTTTCCCCTCTGAGAAACTAAACCAGAGGCCCTGAGCTCGGTGCGATTGTCATCTGTTGCTGCTGTTCCTAGGAAAAAAGAAAAATCCATCCGGTCCCCTTATTTGCAGCAAAGACAGGCTGACAAGGTTAATGAAGTTCTCAAAGGGGAACAGCAAACATGGTGCTACTCA